CCACCAGTTCTGCGCGCGCTCCAGATTCCCCTTGGAAGGCGAGAGGAGAGGACCCGAATGACCGACGTTTGATACGAACAAGCGCAGAGTGGATACTCATTTCTCCTGTTAGTAGCTCTTGATGCAAGTTAAAAATCTCTTCTCCTGATTAGGATCGCAGGTTTAACTACGCTGATCTAATTCCCGAGTTAAATATACCCCTGACGGTGCAAACCTAAAAGAATCACTGGGTTCAGTGGAACGTGGTCCTCGATAAATGAAAAACTCACGTCTCTAGTTATGTTAATATCATGCCTGCTTTATCTTAAGGCTATTAGAAACTGTAGACTCTGAGGCTTTTCCACTATGCCCTGGAGCATTCCTTTCATCCTCATCTTCTTGCCTCTTGTTCTGGAGACTCACAGTCATGCCAGAGGCTGCTGATGATGATTATTAGGCATTTCTTGAAGATGCGTCTGCCTTGCAAAAAAAGGGGCAGATAAGTTTATGGAGGTGATACTGGTGACTTTGGACAAATATTCACTCTTGCTGCCCTGTCTGTCTAGCACCTGGACCCCAAAGGTTTCCATTTTGCTTGGAAAGGTCCAAATGAATTTTATAAATATATGTGCACCCAAGTAGGAACATGTTTTATAAAGTGATAGTATAAATAGTTCTCTTCCAGGAGCATGGGGTGCTCTTAAATCAGTTTACAAGAACTGTTACAGTGATAAAATCCTGTTTGGGTCTACAATATGGAACAGACATCTTGGTGTTTATGTGTGGCCAGGAACATGGGGTAACATCTTGTCCTCTTCCTCCGCTTAGCGCTGCCCATTGGTCCCCTCCTTCTAGGCAGCGGTGCCATCTACAGTCCTCTGATGCTGGAGAATGGAGGTTAGCTGGGATATCTACAACCCCTGAAGCAGAAGGCAGAGCCGTCCACGCTGGCCAGAGCCACCGGATCTTTCGACAATGGCTGGAGACAAATCTCACTTCGTTGGCATGTAATGTACTTATGATCCAGTTGCTGTTCTGTGCAGATTTCTAATCTGCCAGTCTGTCCGGTTCAGTGCGATGATGGAGCATGGGCGCCAGGGTCGCCAGCGGGCCTCCGAGATTATCCGCAAGCAGAAACGCAAAGAGTTGGATGCCCGACGCAGCAAGTGCCGTATCCGCATTGGAAGCCACCTGGAGCAGTGGTGTCAGCTCAAAGAGCAGCTGGGTTTTTCCCTGCATTCCCAGCTGGCCAAGTATCTGCTTGACAGGTGAGACTTTGTGCATGAAGACCATTTCTACCTCTGTGGTTTTTGTCCAAATATTAACTGAGCATCCAACGTTAAACTGCTATGAATTTAAGCTAATGGTTACATGACATGTCTCATGCCAATTTAATGAGAGGTCGAACTGGTTGGTTTTGGGCAAATGTTCTTGAGAGATGCAACTTTGCTGCTATTTTTGAGAAAGAGAGTATCAAGCTGAGATTTCACTGTGTAGAAAACGAAATGGCGTATTAATAAGCAGGCTGGCTTCCTTCTCACAGAGAATGTGTCACTCCCATCAGCCATGACATGGGATATTCTGACACCCTTCTCCCTGTTCTGATTCCGGCCTAATCTAGTCTCCTTTAATTGGCTGGGAGAAGCTTAAAAAAGAAGCTAGCAGAAAGAGTAGGAGAGGTTTGGTGTAATAGTGCAGTGTTTCTCGAACCGTCAGAGGGCAACTGTCAGATGTGTGGACTTCAACTCCCAGAATTCCACAGGTCATATAGCTACTGCTCAGAATTCTGACAACGGAAGTCCATACCCATGGAAGTTCCAAACTTGAGAAGCTCTGTTTGAAAGGTCTGGTGCTGCTTCTTTTTATTATTAAAATTACCTTGTACAGTATGCTGGATGTAGTTTAGATATTATTATTATTCATGTGTGGGCACATATGTTCCATCTGCTCACTCTACTACCTCTTCTCTTTCTTTTGCAGGTACAGTTCACATGCCTCAGTATTGAAAACAGGTAAACACCCTTATGGATTCTCCGTAGTCCATGAGAAGCCTTTTATTCATAGTTCCTGGGGACAGAATTTCAATTCCTACCTTTAAGATCAAAAATAAGGCTCAGAACTTGGAGTGAGGGATTTCACACGGAAGTTTTGCTTCCCCATTAAAGCTGGGCCTCTTTTCTTCTCTCCCTCTTTCTTCAGGATCAGACAGCTCCAGTGCTGGCCCTCTTCCTTCCGAGGCATTGCAGCGTCTGGTTGTCCTTTCTCACAATCACAGCCAGGAATGTGGCTTCATCCCTAATGTGAAGCCCGCGTTGCTGGAGCAGGAGAGAGTCTCCAACCAGCTGGTGTGGGAGTGTCTGGCTGGCCATACCTTCACCTGGAGTCCCCCTGCCCCAAAGATCGGCCTGCCATCCTTCTGCCAAGCAGCCTCTGGGGCCAGGCAAGAGCAGGAGGAGGAAGCAGTCAGTTCCAGACCCAGCCCTCCACCCTCCCCAGTCACCAGACGCCGGCGCTCCCTTCGCAGGGCAGCAGCGGCCCACGCCATTTCATTAGCACTTGCTGCCAGCTCGCCCTGTCCTGTGGACGAGGCAGAGCCCTCTTCCCAAGAGGACGAGGAGGGCGGTGAGGACAGAGAGAAGACCGCATGCATGTCTCCTGCTAGTGGCGCAGGTTTGGAGAAGGAGGCAGAATTGCTGAGCGGCGCAAACTCGGATGAGACAGGTGAGGGAAGGGGCTGAGGGAGGCCAGAGGTCCCACTTCGACAGAGCTGGGAGGCAGCAAGGCTAGACTTGTGTTGGGAAGGGGGCAGATTGGCAGGGTACCCAAAGCGGGAGGGGGGCTACGGGGCAGAAGTGGGCAAGGGTGGGGTTTTCCTTATGGGATATCTGGGCTGTGTGTAGAAGCTTACTTGAAGGTTTTGAGCCTAGATCAACATGTCAATAACACTTTTACTTCATGTCCAGCCCAAAACTACTAAGAAAGAGAAAACCCTGCAAAATACCAGTGAGGAAGGTGGATCTTTCTCCCCCTCCCTAAAATTAAGACACCAGTGTTCACAACAATGAAGGCAAGAAACATGCGTTTTGAAAAAGAAAGGCATCCTAAAGTTGGAAGTGTGGGATATATTGAGAGCGGAAGGGATGTCATTGCTCTTGAATAAAGAACCTAACAAATGCATTTATAGGGAATACTAATCTGTCAAAGCTCATTAGCCTTCACCCACCAAAACGTATATTCTGGAGGAATAAGAAAGAAAGGAAGTCATGTGCAGTTTTCAAAAGCATCTCTGCCTGATCCCCTAGAGGTGATTCTTACTCACCAGTGCTAACCAGGCAAGAGAGTATTGAAAACAAACCCAGTAGGTGCCTGTACTTTTTAGGAAGGGAGGGAGGGAGGGAAGGAAACAGGGAAATGGTCATGGGAGTGATTTTATGCCCACTGCTGAGCTTCAGCAGCCAAGTTCCTCTTAACTGACTGCTTTATAAAGACTGCAGTTTTGCTGATCCTGTTCTCTCAGTCTGACACTGCGGTGTTTTCTCTTCCAGCAGCTGCACCAGATGAGATTCCAGGTAGCACTGAACCTCCAGGGCCCGAAAGGTATATTTCTTCTCTCATACCATCACAGCAGGGTTCAAATGGACCTTGCTTGCTATATACCAAGGGCGAACAGCTTTCAGGTTTACAACATTGACATTGTCTTTTATAACACTGACATTTGCCAAAGAAACCTGGTGCAAAAGAGTATTGGAAAGACGTATTCAGGAAGAATAATGATCCCAGGAATTTGTTCTGAGCCTCAGTACTGAAGGGAGATCACCATCCTATACAAAAATCCATTCCTGGTTTTCCTCTGTGTGTGTGTGTGTGTGTGTGTGTGTGTGTGTAATTTAGCAGAATACCTGAAATTTTCTTACTGATGTCCTTAAATGATTGGGATCTGAGCATCTTTAATGATTGATTGATTGATTGATTGATTGATTGATTGATTGATTGATTGACTGATGATGTGCTATCTAGTTGGTGTCAACTTTTAGCAACCACATAAATACACCTTTCCAGGATGATCAGTCCTCAGTCTGGTCCTTCAGAAATTCCAATGGTGCATCATCACTACAGTAATTGGTCCATCCCCTTGCTGCTGGTCGTCCTCTTCTTCTCTTTCCTTCCACCCTCCCCAGCATTACAGCCTTTTCCAGAGAGCTGGGTCTTCACACAATGTGTCCAAAATATTAAAGAATATTGACTTCTTTTTCGTATTCTTTGGCTTTCTCAATTATCCAGCATGCATCACCAATAATGCCTCATGTTCCTCGGCCTTTTCTAAAGACAGGTTAAACATCTGGCCTTTCCCCTTTCCATGTAGGGCTCTAATCTGCATTGGATGTTCCTCAGCGTTATTTTGCTAGCGTTTGAAATTAAGGACACTGTACAATAGTTTGCACACTCTGTTAAGTCTCCTTTCTTTGGTATTGGTATGAAGACTGACCCCCTCCAATCTGTTGCCACTGTGTTGTTCTTCAGATTTGCTGGCATAGTTTGGAACTGATTCTTTTCTTGCATTCTATATTTCTATAGATACTCCATCACTTCCTGTAGCCTTCTAACTTGATAATGACTTGAGTGCTGATCTTTTATAATAAGGTATCTTGGATGTTCACATCTCTGCTGTACAAAATTTCAGTATACTTCTTCCATCTTAATTTGGTCTTTGAATCAGTTACTAATTGTCCATAGGTGTCCTTTAGTGTACCAGTTCAAGATTGGAACCTCCTCAGTTTGGAGATCTTTTGAAAGACTTTCCTTGTTTTCTGTGTCTGTTTCCATTTTCAACGTCTTACAGATTTGGAACCTCCTCAGTTTGGAGATATTTTGAAAGACTTCCCTTGTTTTTTTGTGTCTCTTTCCATTTTCAACGTCTTACAGATGTCATTGTAATATGGCTTCATGCCTCTTCTAACAGCAATCTAAAATTCTTTGTTAAATTCCTTCCTGAGATCTTTGTCTTTCCTGGTTTTGGCTTCTCTTCTCTTCTTGGCAATTTCCACCATTTGTTCTGACATTCAGTGATATTATTTGATCATTGACTGCACTGCACCCAAGTACTGTTCTTGCTATATCCTTCCTGACTCGGAAAGCCATATCAGGCCTTCTTTGTTTTTCACGTTCTGAGTGGTAAGCAGTGTAATCTTCTGACTGAAAGTGTCCAATTTCAGTTCATTTCAAATTGCTGATGTCAATGTGTAGTCAGTTTCTTTCATTGTTCACTTTATTGAGCTTTTCCATGTTCATGCTTCTTATGTTCCATGTTCTCACTGTAACTCTCTCTTTGCAACTTCAGATTTTCTTTTTCTGTATGGCAACATCAACAACTAGATGTCCTGAAGGCTTTAATGTAGCCGCATCATAAACACCATTAGTACTCAGAAAGATCGTCAGCTCTTTCTCAGTAATATATTGAGTGCCATCTGACCTGAGAGACCCACCATCAGTGACTTTATCTTGCTACCCATGTGATTTTTTTGGTAGAAGACAGGAGTAGTTCACCATTGCCTTCTCCCATGCAGTATGAAATTACGCCTTTGCCATTGTCACTAACGTGATCATCTGCCTTCAGCATCTTACCATATCGTTGCTGCCTAATATAAATGCCCGCTTGCTTTAGCAGGAAGCTAGCATGACCTTCATGTCACGGGTATCTATTGAGTATATATACTCTTGGCATATAGTTTCAGTGTTCTTGCTCATCCTTCCCAGGAACACACACAGACACACCACCCCTTGCCACAATGAGACAGTATAGCAGGACTTGAGTTCTACCAGACTCTCTGTCCCATTTACCACCCATGGGGGAAGGTAGGAGTGCAACTATCCTAATGATTGTTCTAATTGCCTCAAAAGCTAGTGCAAGAAATGAAAAACTAGTCCTCCAGGTATTGCTGAACTACAGCTCCCAGCATCTCTGACCAGCTGCACAGAAGGATTCCAGGTTTAGTCTTTAGCTCAGCCTTCCCCAACTTTGTGTTCTCCAGATGTGTGATTTCCCAGAATGTTCAGCAGTAGCCACATGCTGGCAGGGAAATTCTGAGAATTGAAGTCCACACATCTGGAGGATGACCACTAGGGGAAAGCTGCTTCAGATCTCTAGTTAAAACAGTGTGAGGAACTACACTGATTTACAACTCCTAGCATTTTTCACCACTAGCCACATCAGCTGAAAAGGAGGGAATGTACTAAACTAAACAAGCCGAGATTCATCCAGGATGAAGGATCTTTGTGACCTGAATCTCAGCCTTTCATTTTTTGTACTTTCTTCAGGACTTTAACTCCACCAGAGGAGACACCTGAATCAGTGTCTGACCCACCAGAGGAGGAGGAAGGAGAAGATTTCACAGAAGATAATATGATGTACATGGATGACCTGCAAGATGAAAATTATCAGCCTTCCTTGGATAGGTAAGGAATTTAGAAGATTTTAAATGCAGCAGAGTCCAGTTCAATGTGGATACATGAGAGTCCAACAACAAAGTCATTTCTTTATTTAATCATTTGTATACCACTTCATATGCAACTCCCACCAGGTAACTTATGGAATAGAACATCTCAAATGAACACTCAAGCTACGTGATTTTAAAAATACAGGCCAGTTAAAATTAAACAAATCAAGGCAGGAAGTGGTTTAGCACTCCATATTCCTAGGATATTTCACAAACTTCCCATTCTATTAATAGTCCTGGAGTCTCTTGATAGTCTCCCATCCAAACACTAACAAGGTCTGACCTTGCTTAGCTTTTTCAAGAACAGACAAGTTCAACTAGGTGCTGTCATCCTATAGGGAAACCTTTGACTCCTATGTGGGATATAACAGGGTCACGATAAGACGCTGCATTATAAAAGGAAAATGTCATTCTCCTCATTTGGTTATCTGAAATGCCCCAGATTTGTGTCTTGTTAGTTATTAGGTACTAAAGATGTCATATAACCAGTCATTTTTATTTTATACTGCCCCTTTTTTTCAGACTGAGGACTCTGTGGCCCTTTGAAGCTTAACCACTACCCCAGACTGACTCTCAAAAATATAATTGCACTGAATTAATTCAACACAGTTAATATTATTACCTTTCACTTAGTTAATAATTTTCCCCATTATCATCTTAAGAATTAGAGTGTGGTATCAAGGAAGAGTCTGGACTATACCAAGGTATTCAGAGCCACATTCAACCCTGGGTTTCCAGGTTTTGCACCTCTGCCTTAAAGAATAGAGCACCATCAAAGCAGACGTGCAGGCTAGTCTACAGCATGAAGTTGGTTTGAACTATCCAAGGTCCTAGACAGGTTTACTCTGGTCCTTCATTTCTCTACCAGTTTTCCAGATAGTTGCTTTCCCGATATTTGTCAGCCCAAAGCTCTTGTGCAGAAATGTTTGTGCTTATTCTTGACTGATTTGAGTCATTGATTGATTCTATGTTTTTTATTGCCATTTTTAGCCCAGTTTTCACGAAAAGCAATCCCAATCTCTCTTTCTAGCTGTAAGAAGCAGGCACAGCCAGGAGATGAAGACATGTCCCAAATTGGTCCTAAGAGAATCAGGTAAGTTCAGGTTCATGGTTCTTCATGATATCCTCAGCCAACTTGGGCCAAAAGTAGAAAATCTAAGGAAGTTTAGATAGGTTGGTTAAAGCTGCAAGACTGGTTAAGATTGTTGGTCTGTCTGTCTGTCTATTCTACTTACAAACTACAGTTTATATGCTGTTCAGTCCAACAAGGCTCAAAGCAGCTTACAACAGCAACAAAAAGAATGCAACATTAAATAAAAAACATCATTGCCAACAAGACCAAGTAGCTGCACCCCAAGGAACAGTACAACATCCAAAGAAGGAGAACAGCAGATAAGAAGGCCCACCACAGCCTTTCAGGATTACTAGCAAAGCCAGAAGTTATTAAAGATTCATACACATGAAACCTTACCTAATAATATAAAAGTTATTAAAAACCTAATGGATTATTGTAATTGCCTTCTTTCGGTTGGAGTCATGGGGATTTCGGGGAGTTGCAGACTGAAAACATCTAGCGAAGTATTTTGGGAAAAGCTGGTTCCTAAAAACTGTTAATTAACCTGTTTTACCATCAAATCTATTTGATTAAGATTACATTGGTTGCTGTTAAGTAAAATGTAATATTTAGCTGTCTTTGTTCAAATTATTTTTGACCCATCTAAACAATCTAAACAATCCAGGCTTGTTTACTTTGGAGTGGGAGAGAGGTCTATAAAATACTTCTGTGCATTGGGCTAGAGCACACAAAAGTTGTATTAGATAGTTCTGCAGTTCTGTTGTGGATCTTCAGCCTGGAGATTTGACGTATTTCCTCTTCCTTTTTGGCTTCTCTCTCTCCCATCTTTGCCTTTCTTCATAGGAAGGCAGCCAAGCGAGAGATTCTCCTCTGCGACTACGATGGTTGTGGGAAAATTTTCTCCAATCGCCAATACTTGAATGTAAGTAATGGAGGAACAGCAGGAGTCGCTGATCTCTTTTTGTGGGGAGATGGAGTGGAGGTAGACGTGTTGTGACATCCAGCACTGAAAAGTGGGTGGGCTTTGATAATCTCCTAGAGGTCCCAAGGGCATCAATTCAGATCCCCAATTCAGGGTGCCATCTCATAATGATAATGGAGGTCATCCATCAGTTTGGCATGAACTATCACCAATATGCTGATAGCAGCCAATTATTGCCTGTTTTTGCCCAAATGCAGCTGGCGCACCAGTTGCAACCCTACCTGGACTAGGATGCCCCGGTGATGGTAGCTTATGCCTTGACCATCACATGTTGGACTCCTGCAGCACACTCTAAGGGGTAGGCAATAGAAATGACTCAGAAGCTGCACTTGGTCCAGAATGCAGTTGTCAAAGTGCTGATGGAACACTCCACCATTGCGCAATAACACTGATTCTGCAGTTGCGGCACCATTTACCAGTAAGCTTCTGCACCCAATTCAAAGTGCTGGCTATTACCTCCAAAGCTTATACATGTAGCACCAGGTTACATTAGCCATAATCTTTCCAAAATAAATTCTGTCCATCTGGTCCAAACATCACAAGGCTTGCTGAGAGTGCCCACCCCCATGGGACGCACATGGGACTTGTGCTAGATGGCACACCAAAATGCTTCTCCCAAAGGTATGTGCACATCCTTCCTCCTTGCATCCTGCAAAGAGATTAAAACTTTTTCATTTTACCATGCTTTTGCCCTAATTAATTGATTGTAGGTGTTTATCTTGGCGTGTACATATTGCTTTGTTTTAATCTGGTGTTCTTGTCATTTCAACTTTGTTGTACAGCATCTAGAGTCTCATGATGAAGCAGTGTATAATATTCTGCAAATATTATAGAAATAAATCCATAGCTAGTTAGTGACAACGTGTTTGAAGGGATCCTGTGAAATTCTGAACTGGACTGCTAGGATTACCAACAGAAGTAAAAACAGATGCAGCTGTTGGATAAAGGCAACATTAATGAGAGAAGACCAAACAGTTTAGCTGAAGAATGGTGTCTTCATATGGCTACCTATGAATGCATCTTCTAGTTTTCAACTGAACATTTCCATGAACATCTACTTACACATGCACATTCCCACTCAGTGGCTACACACCCATGAGAAACATAGAAGTTTGTTCTTGTGATTTGATGTGGGGTGCATACAAGTGACCAACAGAACTTCTATGTTTCATTTAAATTTCTGTGTCAGTATTTTAGAGTCAAGTGACACTTTCTATAATGCCCTGTTTGTTGGCATCTGGCTGGACCAGAAGGGCCGAAGTTAATAGAAAACCACAAATCTTAGCATTTGTACCAGGAGAAGGTTCCACCTTTACTTTAGAAGAATCATTCAGAGAAATAGGAGGTACACACGGTCCAGTTAGTCATCATTGTGTAGGCAATATACTACTAAAAAAAAACCCTCTTTGGATTATGTAAACTAAGGAGTGATGCAGATTTTAGAGCTTTATATTCTCTCTGCACTGTTTTTTTTCTTCCAGCACCATAAGAAATACCAGCATGTTCACCAAAAGACCTTTACCTGCTCTGATCCCAGCTGTGGCAAGTCCTTCAACTTCAAGAAACATCTCAAGGAGCACGAGAAACTGCACAGTGGTGAGCAGTCCAACAATGACTCTTTCATCCACCTGGTGCCCGCTAGATGTTTTGAACTACAGTTCTCATTGTTCTTGCAGCCTGTCTAACCAATGATCAGGGTATTCTGGGAGTTGTGCTCCAGAGCATCTGGAGGCCACCAGGTTGTCCATTCTCCAAGGGTAATTGTTGGACTTGGATAGGTTCTAATTCTTCCCCAGCCACAAAAGTTGTTTGGCGGCTTTTGACAGGTTGTTGTACCTTATAAAACAGTTTGATGGTACAAAAGGACAGTAGGTGGTAAAAAGGAATTACCCTGAGGATGTTCAGGAGACACAGTGGTTAAAGCAGGCCATAATTATGAGTCATCTGTCCTTCAGCATGTGGTGAGAAGCCAGGGGTTGTAGGAAGAAGACCATCATCAATCCCTCGTATAGCTGATTTTGGATGGTATAGCATATCATGTGGCCACAGTAATTGTGCTTTATTATCCTGATCTATGATTTAGCAAACTCTGCCAAAAAAAAATATCCAGCAATTCTATCCATAATTATGAGTCATCTGTCCTTCAGCATGTGGTGAGAAGCCAGGGGTTGTAGGAAGAAGACCATCATCAATCCCTCGTATAGCTGATTTTGGATGGTATAGCATATCATGTGGCCACAGTAATTGTGCTTTATTATCCTGATCTATGATTTAGCAAACTCTGCCAAAAAAAAATATCCAGCAATTCTATCTAGAGTCTCATGATGAAGCAGTGTATAATACACTTTCAAAATTAACATGGTATATTAATTTGGAGAGAATCCCCCTTTTATAGTCCAGATTTTAATTTTTTTTACTGTGGAAAGCTACAGGTACCTTTTCAAGGGCTGATCAGAGAAACACCCACAAAGGACATGGTGCCACATCAAAACAAGCAGTTAGATACATCAAATCACACCAACAAAGGCAAAACCCACACTATGAGCAGAGGCAGAACATCCCCTCTGGACCCACCTCACCCCACTGCCACTATTTCCTACGACTCCTTCCTTCTCTTTTCCTCTTTTCTGACTTGAACCCAACTTATTCTTCCATGGACAAAATCAACTTTGTCTGAGGGTTGGGGGGGTTGTTGGTGTGTTTTTGCATTGTTTTTTGCTTGCAAATTGTTAATTATTTGTTAATTAAGTTGCTTGTGAACTGTTTAGAAATAGATTTCATTAGGGCACTGCCCTATCACCAGCACAGAAATCAGATTCAGCAACCTGTCTAGTCACTTTTGAGCCTGGAATGGAGAAGGAGGAGCAAGGAGAAGGATCTTATTATTTGCTCTCAAGCATCAACATGTCTTGGACCAGCCCTGATTGTGGTATTGGGGGAAAGGATTTATAGGTTGCCTGTATCTATAATGGAGTTTATGCTTTTAGGATCAAGCTGGCCAATGACCTGCTTTGCCCTTACTTGCAGATAAAAGGGATTACATATGTGAGTTTTGTGCCCGCTCCTTCCGAACGAGCAGTAATTTGATAATCCACAGGCGGATCCACACTGGGGAAAAACCCCTACAGTGAGTATGCCCCACAATGCTTTCCTATGGCAGAGATGTCCTATGGAGTCCTGGGGGTTCTCTGAGCTTAGTTGTTTTCTTGCAAATGTTTTGTTACCCAGCTAAATAACATCTTCAGTGCTAGAATGGGATGAGGTTTGCTCTCCATTTATATACAGTGGCATGCCCTGCCAGTGTTGGTGTTTTTTGTTTTTCCTGGTAATTCCTTGATTAGGGTATTTTTTACTGCTTGATTATATGTCTGATGATTATCTTGGTGTTAATCTGGGTGATGATTGCTGGTGAGGAGATGTTCTGGTCTTTTCCTTTCTATTGTCTCTTGAATAGTGTGTAGATGCTGTTTATCTCTATGTGCCTGT